GTCCTTACTTAGGGAGCTCGGACCCTTAACAGGGAACTCGCTCTTAACAGGGAGCTCGGACTCAGTACAGCGGTCTGGAGTTCGGGCTCGGTAGTAAGCTTGGACTTGCTTCTGATGTTCGCTTCGGGCGCTCTACTGCCCCGAGCTGCTTGCCTTTGCCACGTGTCAGGCGATTGCAAGGTCGGGCCAAATTTCCCTTCATCACTTCCGACTACGAGCTTATTGAATCAGTCATTCTAGGCCAAAAGGAGCGATCTACTCCCTTCGTCGAGCTACTTTTAGCTCGGGAGTGGAGGGGGGGAATTGATGAGGGCAGATTTGGCCCTCCAATGACATTGTGACACATGGCATCTCATAATTACTGGATGACACCTAGACACCATCTAAGTGATGATTTGGAGTCCCAGATTGCGGCTCGTCTTTACCTCAACCTGGCGACTTATCTTTACTGCCAACTTGGCAACCTGCCTTCACCGTCGACTTGGCGACCTGCCTTTATGCCGGTCTAGCGACCTCGACCACAACTTAGGTCGGCTTGCAACACCTCGTCTAGGGTTAGAATGTAGCACCTCGTTACCGACCGAAGTGACCTCAACGCGATGAGCAACATCCCTCGAGGGCTGGCCAACCTGACTGGGGACCAGGCCACCTACGAGATGTGCTCACCGACAAATTCGGCATGCATATCCCGACGCTCCCAGGTTTCTCAGAAGTTGGCCCACGTATCGAATGTTCTTGAGGATGGTCAACGTGCATGGCGATTACCTCCAAGGATCTCAAACCGGTTAGGCACGACCTCTCGGATGCGGTGCGTGAGGCCCAAACCAAATAATGCCTATATAAAGGCACCAACCCCAATGACACAAGAGAGGGGCGAGTAAGCACATTCTAGCTCTCATACTTTATGATTTTTCACCTCGCGATCTACTACGAGAATACTAACTTAATCATCGGTGCAACCTTGTCGGGTTAGCCACCCCGGGTCCTCTAACATTGATTCCTTGTAGGTTTCTCTGAAGTGCTACCCAACTCAGCAATCAACCTAGCTCGACATCCAAGTCCTCATCCTTCACTTTAACCTCTAAGTCATCAGCCACCTGGAAGTAGTCCGAACAACAGGGTATTGCCAAAAAACCCTTCATCAAAAAGCATTTYCGATACGGTAGATGCACATTCATGTTTTACTGCCCTTTTGTAATATTACCTTACAAAAGATGCCTTATCTCTATTATTTTACAAAAAAACTACTTTTTATTACTAATAGAGGTCAAAAGTTACCTCTTTATGCTAGAATCCCTTTTTTATTTTACCCAAAGAAAAATAAATAGTATGATATCTTTGCCATCACAAGTTGAAATCCAAAATTCTCTTGATAATGCAGCAAAAATTATTAAATGCGCTTTAGTTGGACTCTCATCTCAAATAAAAGAACTATATTAATATCCGTTGGATGTTTTTTTTTATGAAAAGAGACTGCCCCTTCCTAATACACAGCAGAAATGTACTGTGAAACGTTGTGAGGGGCAATGTGAGAGGCTGATTTGAATTAGTGTTACATGGGAGAATTAGTTACATTATAGTATAGTGATATGCGGCCCTTGCATGAGATGTAAGGCCGTTTGATTGTTGTTTCTACTTATATGCATAAATTTAATAACTTCAAAAGATGAAATCAGTCTTTGCAGATAGGTTCGGTGGAGATGAAGTCATTGGATGGTTGTTTGTACCTTGAATCACCCTCACCATCCTTCAAAAAATCTTTGGATCATCCCGTAGGAAGCTTCCATAAAAGGTTAACTACGGTGTTTGGATGTACAGTTGAAAGGATCCCAGATGTACAGATTTCTGAGGGGGATTTCGGTCCAAAAATCCCTTTTTTTTTCCTCCAACGGGCCCACTTTTTTTTGATAAGTCGTTTTAAATGCTGATGAGCTTATATATAACGTAGGAAGGAAGGACTCTTGAATATGACAAAGCTGATACTGATCCAGTGCATCAACGCTCCTTCATGTGATGTGAGTAATACCCTTTCCATCACCATAATCGCATGCCATCAAAACAACTATTATATTCTTATTATCCTATTATATTATCGTGGAAGCAAGATAGCAAATCGAAACCCGTCCCCACGTTATCGAGAGACGGAAAGAGTTGATTAATCTTAGTGCGCCATTGCTGTATCGCCTCGATTCACTGAAAATTTGCATCTCGAAACAACTCTTGATCTAATCTGACGGTGGAGACTCCAGTCCAAGAACCGCGTTTCTTATTGTTCTCCTGACATGGGCCTTGAATTCCAAGTCTCAAGTCCACGGTCCACCCCATAAAAATTGCAACACGTAGCCAGAGCCCAGAAGATGACACAGATGCAGACGAGCAGCTCCGCTGGCATCCCTGCAATTGGTTTCTCCACGAAGCCCACATGATTTAAACCGCTCTTTCCCATTTCAATGGCGATTCCCCGTATCCAACAACGGGCCGACGGCTATGGATGCTGGAGTAAGCCGCTGCCGAACCGATACCGTGCTCAGGAGTAGAGATAGGAAAACCGTCAACGGCGTTAACGGCTTCAGCGTTGGCGACCACCGGAGCCACAGCAAGACGACGGAGAAATCGTCTACTGTAGCAGCAATGGTGGGTCTAAAGCGGAAAGCGTTCTTCATGGGTTGGTCAATGGAGGACGCGGTGAATGTGGTGAGGTACCACCCCATCCCCTGCGTATTCGCGGTGTCTCTCCTCTTCTTCATGGCCGTCGAATACTCCCTCTTCATGATTCCTCCTTCCTCCCCACCTTTCGATCTGGGTTTCCTCCTGACTCGTCCCCTTCACCGCGCGTTAGCCGCTCGGCCTGCTCTGAACACCGCCTTGGCCGCCCTGAACACGGTAAGCCAATTGAGTTTCCCTAATTTTCCATTTATTCTCATTCCTTTGTCGATCTCAATGTCAACAGAGTCTCAATGATTTGGAATTGATGATGGTTATCAGGTGTTTGTGGGAATGCAAACGACGTATATTCTGTGGGCATGGCTGGTGGAAGGCCGACCAAGAGCGACCATATCGGCATTGTTCATGTTCACATGCAGAGGAATACTGGGCTACTCGACCCAGCTGCCACTGCCACAAGGATTCTTGGGTTCAGGGGTGGATTTCCCGGTGGGAAACGTCTCATTCTTCTTATTCTTCTCCGGTCATGTAGCTGGATCCGTGATTGCTTCGCTGGATATGCGACGAATGCAGCGGCGGGAATTGGCTTGGTTGTTCGACACATTGAACGTGTTACAAGTGGTGAGGTTGTTAGGGACCAGGGGTCACTACACGATCGACTTGGCCGTTGGGGTCGGTGCGGGGTTGTTGTTCGATTCTTTAGCCGGCAAGTATGAAGAGGACAGCAAAAGGAGAATAGCAGCAGCAACTCATCAGATCTTACTTTAATTTTCTCTAACCGATTCTTCTGCAGCAGAAAACTGTAAAGTGAAGAATCAAAAAAGAAATGGAAGGGAGAAGAGAAGAACTGAAGAACACCCCAGAGATAGCAAGCAAGCACTGACCCAAGACCAGGTTGTCTTTGCTTAATCGCTTTTTTGTTATTGAATTTTGGGTTCTTTGTGATTGAGACTATTCAAAGTAAGGCATTGCATGTGCAATCTGATCGATCGAGAACCCATTTTTACAGTTCAGAATCTTCAGATGCTGGTACTTTTTTACGGTTGTTTGAAGTTTTTCACGCGTATTATGGAGTCTAAAGCGTGGAGCTTGGCTTTGAATTGGTCGGGGTTGCCGCCTGGTAGACAATCTTAACCATCTGAAATGATGTGTTTGATGTGAAGGTTGTACTGGGGGAGCCAAAAGAAAATGCGGTGAAGTACACTGCACTTCACCGCAGAAATCTGAAATTATAGCTTCTATAGTTGGCATCAATCCACGATCGATATTCATCCCACCTGGAATTCTGGGTGGGCTGAATATTCATTCTCCCAAGAAAATGAGCTTCAGGCTTTGAGCTGCTTAGCTGTCTTCTCTGTAGGCTATTCATTGTTCACGGGCATTCCCAAGATGAATGAATGGCTGAGAAGATGTTCGGACTTTGCTCTGACTGAAGCCGATCAGAGCCTGGGCCTCACATTAACAATAGCCACATCTGTTGACCCCAACCGTTCAGCCAGTAGATCTGACAAGTATGACCCCAACTCCACCTCTATCGAACATGGAGACTCTCTCCTCAGAGACCGGATCTGCTCTCACACAGGAGCGCCTCACAGGCATATCCACCGTGCATTGGGAGCATCTCCCGTGAATGGTAGGATGTGCGTGTGAGGTCGGTGTGAGGCGCCCTGTGTGAGGAGCAGATCCGGTCTCGTCTCCTCAATTTGTTGCATCCCACTGCACAACACAGAAGGTATCTACTGTCTTGCCTGCAATAAGAATATAAGATGAGATTTGTATTTGGTTTTGGTTGGACTTCCAGCCGGCCACGTTTGCCCACCAAAATCAGCTTCAGTCTCAACCTTTTTTAGGCCACAGACTAAAAAAAAGACTGTAATTTTTTTTTTTGTCCTTTTGCTTGCTGTGGAGTGACGGTAGATTAAATTAAAGCAAGGTTTAATAAATGGTTTGTTTGTCAACCAAAGATAATCTCTCATACAATTTCAAAAGGTTTACAAGAATTCCATTCAGACCTAAAACCTTTGCCAAACCATGGGAAAAAAACTGCCATGTGTTCTTTGTAAAGTCTAGACTTCCTTGTTCCTTATTAAAGCCACATTCGAATGTTAGTTGCAGTTATCATCATGGGTCCTGATAACTTTAAGGCTTAGTTTGGAAAGAGATATAAAATAATGCAAAATATAAGTTTTTGCACTCTAATTTGTATTTATACTCTTTCCAAATTGAGGTTAAAAGATAAATCTTAGGGCTCGTTTGGTTCTTGGGAATGGGAATCATGAATTAGAATTGGAATGGATTATTCCAATTTCAACTGTTTGGTTGGGCACAATCGGAATCTAATTCATTTCACTATCTAGTGGAATGGCATTCCCCATTTGAGGGAATGGCTATAACTTTCTTCGGTATGAAATCCCAATATCCAAATTTGAATCCGATTACAAAATCTAATATTCGTATTTGATTCAATATCTGATGGATATTGAAAATTAATATAAAGTATATAAAACTAACTGATATTTGATTCAATATCAGTTAATTCTTTTAGGTAATTAATAAATATATAAAATAAAAAATTTTATTTATATAAACAAAAATATTTTTATGAAATCACTTTTATAAAAGTGCTTTCGTAAAAGTATTTTCTTAGAAGTGTTTTCGTAAAAGAACTTTTATAAAACTGCTTTTGTAAAAATGCTTTCATAAAAGTACTTTCTTGGAAGTGTTTTCATAATAGTACTTTTATAAAAGTATAAAAGTGCTTTGTAAAAATGCCTTCATAAAAGTACTTTTATAAAATTCAACTAGGGATAATTTTATAAGTGGTATTTTAAAATTCAACTAGCGATAATTTTGGAAGAAAAAAATTGAATAAGTGTTTATTGTATAAGCACTTCAAAAACAACTAGAAATTTTGGCTTAAAAAATAAGCCCTTATTTTTAAAATAAGCACTTATTTCAGACTTATTTCCCAAATACCAATAAGTGCTTAATAACCCAAATAAACACTTATTTTGAATAAGCACTCCCAAATCTGGAGTCAAAATCAAAACTAGGGGTGTCATCGGTATTCGAAAATCCGATTTTGAATTCAATATTCGACATAATCAAATCAAATTCGGATAATTCAAATATAAGTACTTTTGTAAAAGTGCTTTTATAAAAATGCTTTTCATAAAAGTACTTTTTAAAAAGTGGTTTCTTAAAAGTACTTTCATAAAAGTGTTTTTATAAAAATAATTTATTTAAAGTGCTTTCAAAGGGTATATTTTGAAAATTTTAAAGAAAACGAAGGACAAAATAGTCTTTAAGTTCTTATTAGAGAAAAAGACTATCAAATGCCCAATATAAAATAAGTGCTTATTTTAAAAACTAAACACTTGAAAAAATTGGGTGCCGAATGCAAATAAGTGCTTACTCGAATAAGCACTCATTTTTAAGCACTTATTTTTAACTTAAGCACTCCAAATCATGGCTTTAATTCATTATTCCATCCATGGTTTTAAAAAACGACTTGGAAACATAACCGTTCTGGCCACTGGTTTCCGGGTCGATAGTTCGACCATCTAGTTTGAACAAATGGCCCGTTTTAACAACAACAAAAAAAAAAAAACGGCTGAAACTATTGAATGGGTCGACGAGTCGACAGTTTGATCACCCAGATCAACGGGTCATTAACCGATTCAATGGTTTTTGACCATGAACCAGGTTTGAGTAAAACAGAACCGATTGTCTAAATGATTCCCGAGCCAAACAGTCTGACCATCCAGATCAACGCCGGTCCAAAAACCATGATTCCATCTATATTTCGAGGAAAATTGCCCTTTAAAAGTGGGTGGCCAAGCCTCACAAGTTAAACAGAATATTTTCTCACTAAACCAAAACTGAGAGTAGCTGTTCGCTTGTTGCTATCAAATTGTTTTAAAGGACTAACCATAGGCGCTTATAAAAAAAAAAGGACTAACCATAGGCACGTTATACATCCATTGCACGTATAATTTGTTAATAGAAATTGGACTGCGACGAGAGAATGGAGATGCAAGAAGAAATTAGATTAGATAAAATTGCAAGGACTTGCCTGAAAATGAAATGTTGCTTTCAGAAAAAATGTGAAAAATGAAATGTTTCATGTCTTTCCTTCTTGAGATCTAACTTTGTAAATCATATTAAACTGAAGAAATGGGAATAGAAACGGGTCGGGTTATGTGGTGAACCCGCATTGACGTGACCCCATCAGATTAGGGTCGGGTGATTTTGGGCTGGGCTTGAATCGAGGTGACCTGTACCATACCCGACCCGGCCGTTGACAATGCAGTAATGAAACATATGTAGAGAGCATTTGTTTAAGTATAGGCGCACCATACGTGGGACAGGTCGGGCCAGGTTCGGTGTCCCATTTTCACTTCCTCGGGGTGGGTCAGGTTAGGTTTGGAGTTTCTTAGGAGTTGGGTTGTGTTAGGTTGATCCAAAGTCAACCATCATTTAGTTTGATCGAATTATGATCAAGACGATCCAGCAACACTGCTGAATTATTAGTTCACTTCCATCTAATTTCACCAACTTGAAGGTTACTGATGAATCATCTCTCCCTCTCTCTCTCACCTAGATCCACCCTCTTGTGTGGATCCTACCACTCCTTTAATCAGGGATTCAACTCGTTCTCAACCCTACCTTTCATCATCATCCTCTTCAGTACTCCTCTTACATGGACAAACTTGTATACAAAAATCAATCATCAATACATGTATCATACATCTTGACTTCGTTAGGTCGGGCTGCCCAATGCATTACAACCTTAAATCAGGTTGGCATTTTCCAACCCTAACCAATCTTCAGCCCAACCCAGTCCAACCCTTATCCCAAGTCAGGTTGGGATCAGGTTGGCTCAAGTAAAGCTAGTGATTGAAAGGGGTCGGGTACCAGTCTGCTCACATTCAAAATTTTAACAAATGCTCTGACTCTGAGGTATGCGTGTGATGTGAGTGAATTGTTTCTGGTTATTGGGAAGGTCCATGACAAGCCCACCCCCTCCTAGAAATATAGAACCTTTCTTGAGTTTCTTCAACCTTCAAACATCTCAGCACTTCCTTCAAAGAAACCAGAGTATGTGGTCAGCATTGCGGGTAGCATCTACCATTTTTTTTTTTAGTTCCATGAGCATCTACCATTAATTCGAGGACAATTAAATAATCAACAGGAACATCCTTAACTGCTGCCTTCTCATTTTTCAAGCACAATCAGAGCCCAATTACTGACTATAGATTGATATTCTGGGCTATGACTAATGCCCCATAAAAGAGTCGATCCACCTGTTACAGTAAACCAATTAGCTAGCAAGTGGCATGCAGGACTGAACGGAGTAGTTGGAATACCAGAGATGCAGCTAGCTCATTAATGCAGAACAGTAAATTACAGCTAAATTGTTTTTCCAAAATAAAGCCAGCAGTTTCCATTGTTTTTCCTTTTTGACTTCTGTAAGAGTACAAAATAATCTATTTTAGCACCTGAGGCATTTGGTTTAGACTTCAAAATATACAAAGTGAACACCCTTTTGGCTACAAAAATATACTGCACCAGTTTCAGGATAACCTCCTTAGTCCTTACTCCAGTGGAAAGAGAGGTTTTCTTTTTTCTACTTGTATTGATACATGCAAAAGGGTGGGAGCTTACACCATTAAATCTTCTATTCATCAGAGTCTGAATCCAGTAGGCATGATCCATCATCTACATTAGCAAGCGGGTTAAACATGGGTGAGCTTGGATCAGTGCATCCTGGTACAAGGTCAAGATTGCAGCGGTCCCCCTGCAACAATACATCAAAATATCAACAAATGTTGAGGATTTAGTTTCCATACTCTGTTTTTGATAATATAAATATTAGAAGACACAATAGAAGGAACCCACATACCCCTTCAACAGACAAATTACCAATCATGGTACAGCGAGTGATGACGATATTCGAGTCAGGAAAGATTGCTCTTTCACAGGCACCCTCCTTACTCAATTCATCTGCCAAACCCTGTATACCAGACACGGTTGTGTCTTATTTTTATTCATATGATCAAAAGACAGTTCTTGAGTCATGATCAACCAAGACTACTAGTACAAATATGGCTCAAGGAATGTATTCTTTCTGCAACACAGTTTTCAGGTTTTTCTTTCTTTCTTTTCTCTTTCTTTTTCTTTTCTTTTTTCCTTCTTTTTTTTTTTCAAATACAGTTTTCAGTATTGATGGTACCTCATTGAAGAAGTCTATTGGTTTGTTTCGCCATGCCTTAGGAACTTGAAATTGCAATCTATAGGGGCCATCCCATTCAACACCATTAGTGAATGAGAAGATCAAGTTCACAGCTGCCAAAGGTGCAAGCAGTTAGCCAAGAAGAAACTAACCAAGCATCAAGTGTCAATGTATATTCATGAAATATCACCAACCATGCTTAGGAACACATATCCTGATAGTATACATGGGCGGATCAGCTTTTCCTCGAATTTTCCTAAGCATCACCCTGGGCTCACCACCACACATGATGGGCTGATTAAACCCCCCTAGGAAACAATTGGATGAATCAAATAAGGGTATTTTCAGGATATTAAAATATGAAGATATTTCGTTAGAAGGTGTGGAACTTCTGACTTGGTATTTGCTTAGAAGTTAGAACACTTATCTGTTGTGTCAAAGGTCAACCCCATACACACTCAATGATATACAGCTAAAAATATAAGCTTTAATATAGTGATGAAGGAAATTACCATTAAATGCAATGCCATACTCTTCGTTTGGAGTAAGATTATTTGTTGCAGGATTGTAGAAGAGTGTTAACTTTTCTCCCTGTCAAAGGTCAAAGTGGAGACTTAGTGGAAGAGTTAGACCAAGCAAATCCTACAAACATCTTACTATCAGCTGCAGTGCCCAACATACAGACATAGGAGGAAGACCATTCATAGTTTTCCAGAAGACAGGAGCTGTTCCTAGGTCAAATTCTGCCCATGTAGGAAGTGAATACCTGAACAAAGAATTTTTCATCAGCCATTAGATAAAACTACGAATTAGATAGAAGAAGATGCTGGCTAGCCAATTCATAGAGTCTAGATGTGTAAATATCTCAGGCATCAAACCCTGCCTTCACTACTCTTTTTGCACACCAAAAGGAAATGTTAATAGCAGATTCACAAAAGCAACAGTCAACAAATCTGGAGAGGAAGAGCTCTTTAGCTTGCTATGCTGAAGCTTGGGCAGAGTTAAGTTTGTGAGTTTCAAGTATTATCATGGGAAAGATCTAGTAAAAAAAATTCTGTAACTGGACAATATTTGAATTTTGAAATAGAATAATCAGGTCAGGACTTGAGAGAGAAAATAAGTCAGTATTGCTGCCTGCGTTGTAAACAGGGAATATATCCATATGAAAAGTGCTTGTATGTGTTAAGTTTTCATATGCAAAACAAATTGTATGTTTCACAATGTGTAAAGTAAGTGAATAAAATAGTTTAACTCGTTGATTTCTTTCTAATACAGAACAAGGTTCAATTAACCAACCAGGTTTTTGGTTGTCATGTTATTTTGGGGCCATCCAGATGTGACAGATTTTATGTTCTTTTGGGTTGCTTGAGTCACTTTTTCCCTTCGACACACTTCCAAGTCCTACGTCTGAATAGTTGGTACTTCATACTTTTGGGTTGTTATCCTGATCTAAAGGGAAGCAACTGAGATGATCATAAATCAGATGGTCACACTCTCCCAAATTACCTTTTGGACTTTCAGGTAAACATGAGAAAGGATTTAAAAGAAACTCCAAGCATTGAATTGCAAATATCCAATTATATCAATTTTGGACAGAGGAATTCTGCTTTAGACAACCCTAAATTGATGGATCTCAACCTGACTTCTTCAAAAGGTTGCCTCAATAACAAGAAATGCAGTACTGGAAAATTTTCTTGTCATAGTGAAGCTAAACTTAGCAAGAATGCTAAAGTCGATGCTATAGAATTTACTTCCTTGTCCAAGAGAACATAGGAATGTCCCAAGCATCATTAAGCTATTAGAAGTAGTTGCATCTAAGAAAGAAACTATTAGAAGTAGAAACGTCAAAATTGAAGACATACTCTTTGATTTCCTCTTTGGTAGTTGTTGCAACAGCAGCAGCACTTATCTTTGAAATGATCCTGACGACCTTCCGCTTCTCTGGAAGACAGCCTCCCAAGGGAACACCCATGAAATGATTACCTGCATTGAATGGAAAACATTTCTGCAATTCTGCTAATTTCGACAATGGTACGATAGTTTTGTTTGCCTTAAGCGAATTAAAGGTCTAAGAAACATATAATTCTCTCTGCTTTTTTATATTTGAGATAAGAAAAAAAAGGCATTTTCCACTTGAGTGAAACAAAACAAAACATGACTTTCATCTAAAGATTGTAAACCGAAATTGTATCAAGATCAAGTCCAGAAATTAGACTTTCAGCACAAAATTGGACCCAGAAGGGAAATTTATACCATGATTAATTTTAAAGCAAAGCACTCCTTAATTTTGAATAAGTTTAAATGGAAAGTGATATTTCCAGGCAAGGCTGTTTCTGTTTAAATGAAGAAGACAAAATTTGTAGCTTCAAATGGCACCAGCATTCATAACATCAAACCACTTTGAATAATCTGGAAATATGAATCCTTAGAAGCAGCAAGTAAAAACCTCTTATCTACCATCTCCGCGTCTACTCTTCAATGAAATATGACAATTAAAGAAAGCAAATAAGAGGAATTACCCATACCATAAATGTGGGAAACAGAGAGACCGGAGTTGCAACTGGAAATAGACCGACAGGCAAAGAGACGCTGCGACGGAGAAGACAAGATTGAACCAGTAAACACCGCCATGGAGGCCAATTCAGTTGCGTCTGTGTCTCGTCGCTGCTACTTCTTTTCCCGCTAAATGACCTTGCAGAATTAGAGTATGACTTACAGAAAGAGAGAGCGAGCTGCAACCTCAGAAATGAGAGATATGGAAGGAAGAGATTTAACCACAAACACAAATTCTTGGTAGCCAAGTGGAGAGGACTTAAAATATCTGGATTTGATTGTTGGCTTTCCACTTGTCTATCAAATCAAGGTCACACGTTTATTCATAACTTGCCACGTGTATTTTTCCACGTGTCTAAGAGTGATAGAGATTAGTTTTGCACACGCTAATATGTTCAACCTCCGGTAGGGATGGGGAATTTTCCCCGTCCCGACGGGGACCCGATTTTCTCGACCCAATGGGGATGAAGATTGTTTTGGTGGGGCGGGGATATATAAAAAAATTATTTATTTTAAGTAATTTATATGTTGAGGATTCGGGATAGAAGATAAATTATATTCCCATCGAGGATTGGAGACGGGGATGAAGGTTAATTTTAGAGTCGAGGTCAGGGACAAGGAATATGATCCCCACCCCATTGCCATTCCTAACCTCCATGCTCCAACCATACATCCACTACCAGTAGTATTAGCTGATCTTTGAACCAGAACTTTGGCCCTTCCTATGTTGGGACCCATCCATTGATTCCTGGACCGGACACACACTAGTTATTGGACCAAGTCCAAGCCCATTAGTTGGAAGGCAAGGAAAACCCATTGGATCATGGGTTCAGTTGCACGCCTCACACTGATCTTACAGTCACATCTCACCTTCTATTGAAAATATCTCTCCATGAATAATAAATATAAATATGGGAGATATTTCTCATGTACAGCCAGAACAGGCTATGAGGTCAATGTGAGGCACACACTATGAGGAGCAAATCTGGACTCCCATCTCTGACCCAAATTCAAATACCTTGCCCTCACCTTGTATCCCAACAGGTCTAGAAATCTAAACCCCATCCTCATTCCGTGGGGAGCAGAGATCCCCGATTTTACCCTATCCCGCTTCAATCATTTCTATTTGTAAATCTTTTTCCTTTTATTTTTTTGAGGTGTATCAGAAACTATATTATAGGATAAATTATAAATAGATACCCTATACTATAACGATAGTGATAAATAAGTATCCTAAACTTTCAAATGTGATAGTTTGTTATGGACACACCACCCGGCAGCGCACTGCGGCGCAGTCATAGGCCACTGCACACACAGCGAGCTGCCCAGTAGCACGTACCGCCCGATAGCGCGCTGCACGTACACGCCTGGCACCGCACTGCACGCACACGCCCGGCACCGCACGGCAGCAACACCATGGCGCGCAGCACGCACCGCCAGGCAGCAGCGCGCACCGCACGTATTGTACGGCAGCACGCACCGCGCACACGTCGGCACCGCACGGCAGCGAAACCATGAGCTGCGCGCACGCGCCGCGCGACAGCGGCACCATGAACCGCGCGCACACACCCGGCAGTAGGAGCAGAGCGGGGCCCACATGATAGCTCATAGGGGTGGGTCCACCCTTATCTGGACACGTCAACTCGCCGCCAGCTTAATCTTATCCCTTATCCCTTATCTTATATTATCTTCTTAAGTAAGAGTTATGAGTTTTAGTTTGAGTAGGAAATTAGGAGTTTTAGTTTGAGTTGRATTACCCTAGYCTAGCCGAATCCAACAAGGAATTCTCTTCTGTAATCTCCTATTTAAGGAGCTACGAATTGAAATAAACATTCAGTTTTTCAATCAAGAAACGAGTGATGAGAGTTTGGGTGGTCTCTTGGACAAATCACCCCAAGGGAGAGTTCGGGTGGTCTCTTGGACAAATCACCCACTAGATAGGCAAAATAGGGTCTGTGCGCAAAACCAAAGGCAAGGGAAGACCAGGGGTTCCTGCCGTGGAACAACCCGTGAGGCGATCCTACGCTCGGGCCCATAACATAGTTGATGAACTCCAATAAATAGACATCCCGATCTAACCATTAGTGTTCCATCAATTATCTACAATATGTGAAGTCACATATGACTTCAACAAAATCCCATAACTACCCTTCTTTCTGTATTATATATTACTCTTTTTCACTTACCTGATAAATGTGTTTACTTAGGCAAGAGTAAAACTTGCCCGGGTAAGCATGCTTCCAGCGTTCTTGTAGTTACTCAAGTAAATGATTTACCTAAGTTGAGCGAGGGTATCAGTTACCCTCGAGTACGGAGTACCATAGGACCTAATGTAGCGAAAAACAAACGCGGGTATTGTAGTCAACTTATTGGTTGACCAGCTTGCCCCACTAAACACGAGGAAACGAATGAGGCTTAAGTGTTTGTGATAAATCTGGTAATTAATAATAATTTTAATTTGAATAAAAAGAAGTCGCTTTTGTTGCTGTAGTACTATGCATATGGGTATTTTGATAATTTTATCACATCACAACGTGAGTTAATGGCACTAGACTTGAATGTATATTTCTAAAAGTTTGGAATACTCAAGTGTTGTATTGAAAGTTCAGGGTATCATAGTTTTAAGTTTCCCCAAAATCCGCCCCGATAAGAGTAGGGCAAATTGTCGTCTCTAGTTGCAGCCCACCCGCCCTCTGTGCCTGGCCTTGAATAGGGCAGGTTTTCCTCGATCTTTTTTTTAATTGATCTTATTAAATAAGGACAAAGCAGCAAGGAAAATATTTTTGCCCCAAACCATGGATAAAGTGGGGATGGAGTTTGCATATAATTTCCTAAATCCACCCTGAACTTGATAGCAAATTAGTAAAATATCCCTAGGTTTAATATTAATTTCTAAAATACCTCTAAGTTTCTCCCAAACTTATATCTATTTTTATAATATCCCAAATTTCTATAATTCAATTCCTAAAATACCCCAAATTTCCATAATCCTATTTTTAAGATACCTCTAGATTAGATGTATTTTTAGGTGATTACCTCATGACAAACAAAATTCGAGAATTCCCCATCCCCAATGAAAAGTGGGTGCCCCACCACCCAAGACAGGATAGGATATCTTAGCTATAGGGAAAGGAAGGGGAGGGGGTGCCTCGCCTCAAACCCGCACCATTGCCATTCGTACTTGTTTCAGGACCCAGCCTGAGATCATCATGCAGAGATCAAGGGCCCATTTGGGAGGGCTTAGCTTTATATGCCAGCTACTTTGAAGCAGCTGCAGGAAGAGGCTGAATGATTTTACAATGACCATATTTGACTCTCAAAACTTCTTCTTTTTCTTTTTTTTACCAAACTTTGCTTTATAGAATTTGAAGGGCATTCCGGGTGAGATCCACTTGACAAAGCCAAATTCCATAGAATGAAAGCAGAAGAGAATCAACACATTCTCCGTTTGCTAAAATTAACATTACATTGTCATAAAGTGGTTCTTGTTAGGTGCATCTTATTTTTATTTATTTACTTATTTTGTCTGGGACCCATTTGGAACATAATGGTTTCAACTTTCGTTAAGACAGGATTTTCAAAGTAGTTCCAACAAAAGAAAGGGCCTCCCATTGAGATTGACGAAGTGTGGAGGTCTTTAGATCAAAGCGTTCTAACACCAAACGAATCTTAAGTAGGCGTGCATGCGAGCTGAGTCGAATATTAGATTATTCTAACTCCGCTTAATTCGAGCTAAAAACATGATTTTGATTTTTGATTTTGGCTCAACTCAAAAATTCATAAATTCATATGTTGCATAATTAAGTTTAGCCAAAATTTTCACGAGCCAGCCTCAAATAACTTGTAAAAAGCATGGTTTTTAAAACCAACCCGGTGACCGAACCGGTCAGGGGTCCGGTCACCAGGTCGAACGGTCTGATCGTTCAAACTGAATGCTCAGTCTGTTCTGACAAAAAATAAAAAACGGTCAAAACCGTTCTAACGGTTCGAATGGTTAATCGCCCGGTTCAGCGGTTCGCTGACCAAAATCAACGGTTTTGGGGGGAAATCTGGTTTTTAGGGAAAACGAAACCGGTCACCTAACCGGTTCCCAGTTTTTCGAGTCTGACCGTCCAATCCGGTCCGGTTTTAAAAACCATGGTAAAAAGATTCCATTTGTTTCCACCCCTAACCCCAAGTCCTAATCTTTTTTGCATCTTAAAAAGCTATTTCTAAAAATTCAAGGTTTTTCAAGAGTTATTAAACTAATGATGCATTTGGCTTGCACTCAAATGAGTGAAAATAAATGATTTTTTTACAAAACAATATTTAATAGAAAAACAAAAGACAAATTTCTTAAAGTATCCTTATGGTTTAGGAAATTGACTAACTTTATAGCATATTGTACTCCCAAATTTTTTGACAATTGGCATCTAGTTATTATTAATGAAAAAACAAAATGTTGAATTTGTCCTCCATTATTTTTCAAATTTTCAAAATAAAACTTAACTGATAAAAAATTTCCTATAAATGAAAAGCGGATCACAGCTCGGACTATGATGTTTTAGAAATGAATTGAACGAGGCCTCAGCCGTTCAATTAATCTATGAGTTGTTCAAACATTCAAAGTTGAAAGCGGCAAACCCCAAACAAACCAAAAGATCAAAGAAAATGCGAGAAAATGAGAAAAAAAAAAACTAAAAGGAGAGACGTAATGGTAAAGAGAAAGAATCTCTGTTACATCTCTACTCATGGCAGTCCAAACCCAAAACGAAAATTACAAAGGTGTGTTACACTGTAACACAGGACCTGTGTTACACTGAAACCTTCCCACAAACTGTACATACCATAGTGTAACCATCCACGAGAAAATATTGTAGACAATAAATTGGGGTGTGGCCCGTTTCTGTCCACACTATTTTGTGGATGGAAATCGTCCACACATAGCAAAACACCATATCATATCATGAACAGGACCAAAACGGTCCCCTGTCCACGATATTTACATACTACTGAACACCATGGTCCCATCCACTGTACAAAGAGCATAAGTGGGTCGACCACGCCTTACCAGACGAGCTGTCCTCTGACGTTGGAACCGTTCACCGACAAGTTGACTTCGACCTGTAAGGTGGAGGTAGAGATACCTTATCTCAGCCTGAGAGAGCTTAATCTAGATCAGAAACAACCCCGGGGGTTCATTTTGGGTTATTGTAGTAACTGAACTTGTTTGACTTGGTTTATTTGTTGTCATTTTGTTTCATGGTAAAGCAAAGCAGTGCTAGAAATATAAGGAGTTTGATTGATACTTTTTTACTTGAGCTATGCAAGTATGCAAGCTTTCTGTAATCTGAATTTGAGGGATCTCCAAGGATGGAGATGCTTCGACAAATGTAGGCAACCTCACCGTTTTCTTTGATGGGAAATGACTGAATGGCATGAGACAGCTCTAAGAGAAGAAGAAGAGGAAGGATGGTCAAACGTGATGGTGAAAAGTAGCGGAGGGAAGAGTTGATCGGAAACAGAATATTTTCATTTGAAAGGAGGAGAAGAAGAATTAGCTTCTAAAAGGGTATTTTAGGAATTTTAAAAAATATACATATTATTCACGTAATGTCACATGTGAAAAAGTGTGACGGAAAGTTAACAGCAAGGAAGTTTTAAATAATTGTCAAAAAACTTAAAAATACTTTAAGACAATATGTAAACAATAAGAATAGAGTTAGTCAATTTCTTAAACCATAATAATACTTTAAGAAATTTGTCCAAAAATAAATCATATTGATTTGCATAAAAATCAAACTTGAATAATTAAGGGGGTGTTCTACAACATGAATGTTTTTGGAATCGTTATATCAGCAAAAATAAAAATAAAAACATGTTCTTGAACCATGTTTTTGTTTTTAAAAGGAAAAATAAATTGGTTTTGTTTGAAAAAAAAAACAATACATGTTTTTAGAACCAATAAAATATTGGTTTTTAAAGCAAAAACAAATTTTCTAGTATAGAAATCATATGATTTATGAAACTTGTTGAACAATCAGATGAAAACATGTTTTTGAAACCAGATTCAAGAATATGTTTTTTGAAAACAAAAAACACATACAAAACAAAGAACATGTTTCTTGTTTTTTTTTTATTTTAAAAAACAATCTGTTTTCAGATAAGATGGTTTTGATTTATTTTTAGAACGCACCCTGAGAAATATGAATGTTGGATAAGAGCAAACCCGATGATCAACCTACATTCAGAAAATGTGCTTTCACCAGAGCAATTTTACATGCAAGCACTGTGTATTAGTAATTTCAGAAAATCGTTCATTCCTTCATTTCACTTGTAACTAAATGAAACCTCAAAGTAATTTTTTTTTCAGAGTCTAGATTTCTTGTCCAAGCAAAAGCCATAAAATTGTAAAATCCTCGGGTTATGTTCCTGTCCTGCAAAACAAAATGGACCCAACCCATTGTTTCAGTGATTTACTTGATCAGCTTGCAACAATCCATAGCTAGGGCAATAATCTGTATCCAAAAGCTAAATCAATCTAGTCTCTTCCCTTGGTAAAATCAAGACTGTCAAATCTCCGGTAATACGAGTATCCATGGGTACTCGTCGGCAAGTCCTCTTGCATAAGATCACTGAATTTGCAACAATTGGCCCTCGAATTGGTGTTCAGAAAGAAAAATCAAGAAACATAGATGAGGTGGAGCATATGGGAACTCCTCCCGACTCTGGCTTAAGAACTGACTCAGTACCAACATGGTTCCAAGTATCGATACGCTCAAGCCAGAATTTTTTTGAGTATTGAGCATTTAATCAATATGTTGCGACACTTTGAATTTTTGTTAAGATGAATATTAATATTTGAATCTATTAAATAGGCCTAACTCTAAGTATTCAACACATCCATGACCCGAACCAATATGAATCGTATACTTYCCACCATGGAGGAAAACATTTATAGTAAAGGACAAGACACATAAAGACCAACATGAGCCTAGGTTTGCCTTTAAAAAACATGAGCATAGTTTTTATGTATGACACAAAAGATAAGGTTTTAAAAGGTAAAGGTGTAGTTGATGCCTAATGGTCTAGAAAGGTGAGGCATAAGTCTCAAAATTAAAATAAAAAAATAAAAAATAAAAAATTTATATAAAAAATTTATAAGTCTATAAATGATGATAGGTACAAATATCCATCTATAAATTAGAAGATTTATAATCAATAAATTTTAACATTCAAGTATTAAATAAAATAATAATTAATCATCTAACAATTTAACATTTTATGCTTCAAAATGCAATCTTATGAAATTATTACAGTTGGGAAAAAAAGAAACAATTTAGTTGATTTGATCTATGCAAAAAAGAAATTCAATAAACAGATAAACAAATCCATTAAGAAAATAAATAAAAAATAACAAACTTAGGATGTTAAATCAGAATATTAAAGAGAAAAAATCCACTTGATTTATCCAAGATAATTTGATTGGCCCTTTTTCTTTGCAATGAACTCTCATTGGCTAAAATATTAAGAGAAACTAATAGAATTTAATTTGCCCTTTGGTATTTCATTTTTACTCATTTTATTTGGCCCATAATTATTGAAGTGCTTTTTCTATATATTTTGAACTATAAAAATTGCATCAAAATATGTATTTTTTACATGAAATCAATAAATAATATTGATACCTGAGGCTTACACCTTTTTATGCCTAATGTTACGCTTCACACCTTGAGGCTTGAATAAAATATGTATGTTTTGCATGAAATCAATAAAGAATATTGATACTTGAGGCTTACACCTTTTTATGCCTTATGTTACGCCTCACGCCTTGAGGCTTGAGCCTTTATGCCTCATTCTAACAAAGGCTCAAACCTCAAGCCTCAAACTAAAGTTGTGAGGTGGCTTCCAAAATGATGAAAAGAAAAAAAAAAGGCTTTGTAGGAGAAAATACACGACTGATTCAATGAAAAATATTGACAAGTTATATTCCAAACCATACAAATATACAACTAACTTTAATGATCAAGGGGTAATTTTAGTCCAAGCCATGTCTCAAGGGAGAAAGCATTAGATTTTGATTCAACAGATTAAATGTTAGTTAGCCATTCTTGAAGAAGCGAAGCCCTCCCATATCACTTGAATACGTGTTTGAATCTGTTTATGCATTAAGGCTCATAGAAGGGCTAAACCACCACCACCACCACTAACCCCCCCCCCCCCCAACAAAAAGAAGAAACGAAAGAGAGAGAGAGAGGGGGGGGGGGGAATAGTTCAGAGTGATATCCTAGTTTCCTAGATGACATGCTTAAGTATTAAGGATCGTATTACTGGTACATATGCACAAGATGGATTTTCAAAAGTCAGAAGCAAAGCAATGCACAAAGAATTTCAATGTGCAGCTGCCAGGAGAGCCTAATTCAAGAATTTTCCCCTTACGTTATTGCTCACTTTCCCAGTCAATGCTTGTTGGCTTAATATCACCAGAAAGCTGCTTTCCAGCTGCATCACAGAGCAAATTTGGATCATGTTGTAATGCACGAAGAAATGAATCCCTGTACTTTCCTAATTGCTAACACCCAATTAAATTATTCTCATGAATATTATGTCACAATGATCATGCATGTTAGCCATTTACCTCTGAAATGATCAATCAGAGGCCTTTAATTTTCGAGGCCTCTTCGAAGATTGAGGGGGCGATGGAGGTACATCTGAAAATCTTCCAGGAACCTTGAAATCCAAAGTTAAACAGAATTTAGARCACACTACAACTGACAAAAAACCATTACATAGAAGAGCCATGAAGAGAGATAAAATTAGCAAAATAGCTACATACCTTGCGTTTGTGTTCCCGCTTACCAACTCTTTCTCCTGAAACCGAAAAGAGAAAAGGAAACATATTAGTACCATACAAATAACAAGAGAACCAGATACAAATATTCACCATGAACATTACCTCCAAAATTAATAGAACTGGGAATGAATGATCGATCCTGATCCCCACCACGATGCAAACGCTGTTAATAGTTTAGAAACCAAACCTCAAATTTGTAATATGGTGATACGAAGCCATATTTCAATTGCAAGTGAATGAATGCATACCATTGTTAACCACGATTTTTTTTTTTTTTTTGAAACTGCAAGGAATAAGTGATTTCGACTTACCTTAGGAGTGCTTGCTGCTTCGGCATATGAACTGTCACGATGAGATGAAGATTCTGCCTCCTTATATTGCAGCTGATTATCAAACATAAGGAAATCAAATAATAAGTAGGAAAAACCTACAAACAAATGGAGCAAACATATGCATGGGAATATCTCCATAAGTTGTCACGGTTTAGTTTCCAATTTCTTTCATGTTGCAAAAGCACCCTGTAGTTTTACATTTCTCTCCTGGCAAGAAACAAGGCCATGCAAATTAAATGGATTGATTCCTTGAACTACTTTGTGACATTTAAATTTGCATCCTTTTTCTTTTCTTGCTTCCTGAGAGAGAAAAAACTTGCCAGAAAAACTTTAAAAATTATGACTAAAAACTCTATGGTTCTTCTGATCATGTAAAGTAAGCAAATATCTGAAACTAGGGATGACCAGGGGGTTGCTGGATTTTTACAGGGTGGCAACAGCATTTAGGCTGCCCAGGACTGATAATACATGTCCAGGCTCAATGTGGGCCAGGCCAGGCATCCAAGCTTGCCCTATAAATTAATAAAATTATTTAAAAAAAAAGTTATGACTGAAATCTCTATAGTTCTGATCATGTAAAGTAAGCAAATATCTGAAACTAGGGATGATCAAGGGCTTGCCAGATTTTTACAGGGTGGTAACAGCATTTAGGGCTGCCCAGGACTAATAATACATGTCCAGGCCCAATGTGGGCTAGGCCAGGAATCTAGGCTTGCCCTATAAATTAATAAAATTATTTTTTAAAAAAATAAAAATTTAACTTCTGGAATGGACCAGGCCAGATTAAAACTATGTTTGGTTCCATGGGTGTTTAATTGAAAAAATGCCACCACATCAGTGTCACATAGGCGCTGCCGTTTATTATGCATGAAACCACTGTTTGGTTTCAACGTTTATCAAATAAACACCGAAAAACAGAAATGCTTGGATTTGTGTGCATGAGGCGCCCCAGCATTTGTTGAAACGAAATGGCTTATGTGGCATACTTTATGGGGTGTTAAGCTGAGGTGAAAAGTAATTTTATGGAGTGTTACCTGAAACACTCATGAAACGCCCAACCAAACAACAAAAGCATAAATGTTTAAAGTAGTGTTTTCAAATAAATGTTTAAATCAATAAACACCCCATCTATAAACGCCCACGGAACCAAACATATACAAAGTGTGCCGGGCAGAAATGTCAACCCTATCACTGTGTTTCCTGTACATGTTTTCAATCATTCTTATTTCATTGAAAAAAGGTATGTGCCTCTGTTTTGTATAATAAAGTGCAATACAACTTCAGTTGCACAAACAGATCATCTAAATTCTAATGCACCTCCTGCAGAAAATCAACAGCAAATGTGTGCGACTTAACTCAAGAATTCTTTTACCAAAAAAAATCAAGAGAATTTTTATTAGTAGAAAGTTTGAACATATTTTCTTTATGTACAGAACTGGTAGAATTTAAGGAATTTTATCAAGTAAGCATATAGTGGAACAAGAGAAAATTTCAGAATCACAAAAGAGCAAACCTAATGCCATCAGCATCCTCAATTCCATTGAAGTGCATCGCATATGAGTACATAAARGATACAAAACGGCAGTTAATGGGGGTGCAACTTGGGTCGGATTGGGCTGGAATTTGTTAAATTTTCAATGGATCCAAACCCTAACCCGAGCCTGATGTAGTTGAAGTTGAAGTTCTTCAAACCAGACAACCCAACTTGCAGCCCTAGCAGTTAAGTGTTTCCAAGAGCATAGAGGAAATCCCATGGCATTAAGCAGGACACATGCAACACTGCTAAGTTGCCATAGGACAATGCAATAGTGAAGCCATATTGGTTAAGTCTCTACATGTCATGAGAAAATTTTGCATAATCAATGTAGTAGGGGCACACCATATTGGCTCCAGAGAAAATAAATGCACTTCAGGTAACTTGAGAGATAAGATGTCATAAAAAAATATATATAAAAAATAAAAACATAATAATAACAGACACAAAATACAATGATAAGGATAAATTACACGTAGTAATACGGTAATACCTGTTTCTGGAGATTGAGTAGTGTAAGTATTTCTTTCCGCAATTCAAGATGCTCTGCACAAACAGCTTTGGTTGGAACTTTTGGTTTTATATTAACCTGAGAAAAGAAGGCATATTATCACAGGCATATGAAAATATAGGTTGTTTACAGTTTACACAAGTTGCAGAAATAAACAATTAATTTGCACCATGAGATGCATCTCATCATAAACAGGTTTCCCTGAAACAAGAAATTGACTCATATTATCGCAGGCATACGAAAATATAGGTTGTTTACACAAGTTGCAGAAATAAACAATTAATTTGCACCATGAGATGCATCTCATCATAAACAAGCTTCCCTGAAACAAGAAATTGACTTTGAACTTCTGTTAGACATAGCCTATGGGTAGTTGGGTATTATGAACACAAATAGACAGAAAATAATGCTCTTCTAATTTCTAATCAGAAAAAAATGCTCTTCTAATTTCTGGACTCAATAAAACTAAAAGAACCAAAATATAAAATAACATAGATATCCATGTAATTAAAGTAATGCCAAGGGCATTGTCAACCTAGAAATTTGTTCAACGGTAAGACCAGTAAAAACCCAATCCTGTGGCATAGTAGCATCAATATAGCTACAAATAACAACACGCGCAGCGTGCATGCGCAGACACATGAAATAGATGGAAAGCAAGTTCAATGATTAAAGAAACAAACCCCAAGATCCTGCAGAAACTGATCAACTCTCTTGATAGTTCGGAGTCCAGCAGATGAGCTCGCTGCTTGCACCATTTGCTCAAGAACAGTCGTTCTCAAATATACTCGAAGCTGAAATTTTTCACGTTAGTCAGATCCCGCAGAAGATTGGCCCACATAATTAACAACACCAAAGAAAGATTAAGAAATTAATTTCTCAATGAGCAAGATCAATGTTTTGAAAACCAAGTTGGGCATCACACGGAAAAGTACCCCTATTCCTGGTTTCCCAGGTTCAACCTGTCTAAATTCTGGTTTTCAATGATCTGGAAAGGAGTCCTACCATCCAGTTCAGTCCAATTTTCAAGACTTTGGTGAAAAAGATAATGCAGAACCAAAGTCTCAGGCTCACCATGCGAAGTGAAGCTGGAGTAGAGGAAGCATCTGCTGTTGCTGTTGTTGCAACAACTCCAGACTGCTGCTGATTGTTGGAAGATGGTGATACAGATTCAGCAGCAGTAGTAACCCTCTCAGTACTTTCAGGTGCAACACCTGAGGCTGCACGCAACTCAGCTTCTTCAGCACCCTGCAGGAACAAGAAGGGACCAGTTTAAGCCATGTCTATTAGATGATAATCCCTAAAATAAGTCTCTTGATATAAACCAGACATTCAAAATAAGTCCATATACAAAGGCCAATCTTTGCAAATTATCTCCTCTTGCACTGAAAATGCAAGCTTCACCAGGTAATGAAAAGACAAAAGCAGTAAATAGTAACAGCAAGTTCAACACTGTTACCTTTGCAAGCATGCGTGACTCAGTTATGCGCTTTGCTTCAGCAAGAACCTAAGAGGAAAAAATTGCAAAATAGTAAACAAGACAAACTAGAAAATCACAAAAATCTAATGCATTTGCAAACCAAACAAGGAACTTGGCATGTTAACAAATATGGCCTTCATCATTCAAAGATGCAACAGAGAAGTACTTCAGCATCTTTTCGTTCTTGTTGCTTTGTTTGGGAGAGAACCATTGACAATGCCCTCTTGCGCTCAACCTCTTGTGAAACATTATATGGTTCCTAGTCAAAAGACAAAAGGCAAAGCATGAAATGACAAGCAATAGATTTACCCAAAAATGACAAACAATAATGTGAAATAAAAGAATTCATACTTAGTCAATCAGTGTAATGATAAAATCTCAGGCCGATAAGCATGAGAATATGGATAGGAGTCTAAGAGCGGCCACTTTGTGCAAAAAAACAGCTGAAGGTTAGGCTGTATCCAGCCTTCCCCTCCCAAGCCCCATATATCTGGAGCCAACATTGGGTAATGGGCTTTCTTTTAAGTGTAATCAAATAAAAGGACATGTGACTGAAGACAGATATACAAAAATTCTCCTACCTTAACAAGAGGATGCCCAGCAACATCAGCAGGAGATGGAGCTCTAGCAACAATAATAGCTCGAGATACTGTTGGGTAAAATGATAATTAGAAACAGATTAGCACAATCACAAACCTCTACGGGTTTTGTACAACAATCACAAAAGCAACCAATAGAAATTTAAAAGATCATTTTGGATAAAATTTCCCATATATCACCTATAAAGCAGATGGGTTTCCAATTAAATGTTATAATTAAAAAAAAAAACATAGTAATCATGCAAAGAAACAGACTGATACCACTATAATAACGATTCTTCAGCTCCTCCACGGTTCTAGATGATGGGAACCTGTCAGCTATTACAATGAAACGGAGATCAAACCTTTCACACAAGTCAAATAATTGATCCGTTTCTTCTTTGGTCCACATCTGAATAAAGACAAAAAAAAATGAAACAAATCAATCCGAGATACTCTACCATGGAGATTTTCAACATTCATACAGAATTTAATGCTTATAAGTGATGTAAAAGCCTATAACAAATTACTAATTTACATTGATACTCTACCTCCACAACTTTAAAGTTTAAATTACTCGTATGTTAAACAGACTTCTATGTAAGAAGCACCAGGAAATGCCCCAAAATACCATATAGTTAGATAACATTTTTTTGATGAATATATAGTTAGATAACATTGTTGCAAGAATAAACTTCCCAGAACTGAAAAAATTAATTAGAAATGCAAGAACAATCAAAAGTTTAGTTTTGCAAAATCCAATGGCCTTAAACATGCCTAAAGCCAGGGAACTACTGTCATTAGAGGTCAAAACCAACTGACACAATGCTTAATTGGCAAGTCATGATGAAATCTTCATGTTTGCTTACAATTTCAAGAACAGTCTTATTCAATCAGTGGCTTTGATATCACCACTAAAGTCTAAACTAACAGAAAAACCAGATTATGATCGATCCAGATGGATCAAAATGGCAAAGTGGAATTTATGGTTGAAATAAGACTACTCCCATAATTTTGCAAGAGTTTGAAGAACATAATTTATCATAAAGATTTCTGCAGCTTTGGAGATCAAAGACTAGAATAAAAATGGAAACAGACAGTGAACAATTGGAAGATACTTTAAGGCAACATTAATGGTAGAATAATCGGTGATGAGTAATAATTAATCACAAATAGCAAATCTTTTCAGGACAAGATGTTACCTCTCTATGTTTCTACTCCGGCAAAATAGCCAAGGTTTTTTTTTCTTTTTTGGTACTGTACTGATTAACTATAAAGATCAAAAGTACATCAGCCCATGTACAATGAGGACATGTACAACGAGAATAAACAGAACCAAAAGGTCAACCAGAAAAAGGCCCAGCTTGCAAAAAAGAGATGAGCTGGACACCCTGAAATATGTTTTTACACCCAGCCAAGAACAGAGTAATCCTATAAGTAAACCTAAGGCAGAATGTTTTTTTGTCAAAAATACGACTATTCCTTCTACAATGTCCAAATGATAGCAGCCAGGAAGGTATTCCAAAGAAGTTTGCCCCTTCTGTTCAAACCTTTGATAAACCAACCCTGCACCAACTGAAGTAGTGATTCCGGCAAGCAGTTTTTTTATCGGAAATGGTAAGTTTCATTAAAATAACAGTTAAATACAATAGTGTCAACCACTCAGAGCCTGAAAGTTGACCCCATACAAATCTCAAATCTTATAATACAGCCCAAAACAAGCTTTCCCTGAGAGTCCCCTGCTTTGCCAAATTGTCAGCCAGAGCATTGGCTGATCTCCTTACCCATTTGAAAATTACACCCACTTCCCTTGCTAGGCAAAGTATTTCCCTCATCAGTTGTCTAAGGGTCCATGCACACAAGCTTTTTGTCTGCAGCAATCCTATTAGAAGTTTAGAGTCTCCCTCTACCTCACGGTTTTGATATCCCCATTGCTTAGCCAATCTCATGCCTTGAAGTAGAGACAGAACTTCAGCTGTTAAGGAGTCTCCCAAGCCTACTGGACCAGAATTAAGTACTAGCATCCTGCCCTCCCCATCTCTGAAAACTTCTCCAACTCCAGAGGGCCCCGGGTTTCCCAATGAGCTTCCGTCGAAATTCAATTTTACTCTTTGTTGTGGTGTATGTATCCAGAGGGGCTGAACCACACTTTGTGCAGCTGAAGAGTTAGCCACTATTGACCATCCCCTTGGTATACTAAAATTTTTAAACAGTTCAGTTGCTTTCAGCCAATGTATGACCCTAACAGCTATGGAGTTAATAACTTGCTACTTAGTTCTTTCCACTCCTTGGAATATCCTGTTATTCCTCTCTTCCCATAAGGACCAAAGGATAGCAGCTCTTGTTGCCCTCCACATTATTCTGCCCCCTTTTTCTTTGGTAATGTGAAATAATTCGAATCAAAAAGATTTGCCACATCCGTAGGAAGAGTCCACCTGCAACCAAACAGAGAAGAGCAATTCCACACAAAAGGAGCAAGAGGACAGGATAGTAAAAGATGTGGTTCCGGCAAGAAGTACTGAACCCCAAAACAGAAAAAGACCATGTTCCAAAGCTGCTGAGAGAAGCTACAATGCATGAAAGGATGGTTTGAGGATTTGGGGGCTTCATTGCAGGAGCAAAGAGAATTAGGAAGAGGCATTCCTCTTCTAAGAAACTGGTCTGTGGTTAAGCATCTATTGAGGGCTGCAGTCCAGATCAAGAAAGCTATATTAGAAGGGATGTGAGGGCATCAGATCCTAGACCAGGGGAAAGCAATATATCCTGCCTGCAGGAGAGAGAGAAGAGATTAAACAATATTAATAGGAACCCTCTTTTGCATAATTCCTCCAGTGGTGGTCTAGTTTCACAATACTGGCCCCAAGACCATATAAGGATGAAGGTTGTATCAGGTAGGATAGCCAGCATAAGACTTTAGCCCTAATGAAAAGTAGTAGTTATCTTTAAGATGTAAATGATGATATGAAACAAACAGAAGTGACACAGAGGTGTGAGTGTCTTTTGAGGAACATTGGGATAGAGGGAGTGTTGGCCTAGAGAGGTCAATCAAGATTCATGGACCAGAGGTTTGCATGGAGGATTCTAGCCTTCAGAGGGAAGCTGATGTAATATGTTAAGCTTGTACCCGCAGGGGTATTCTTGTCTTTTTCGTTTTTTTATATTATATGTATGGTCGCCCTAATATATAAATAGAATGGCTGGCATCACCAGCACACTTTTTGCTTCTCTCATATCTTTTCTATCTTCTCTTCCTCTTCTTGAAAAACATGGCATCAGAGCAGGATGTTGCTCTCTAAGTCTGCTCCTCTCTAATTGTGACTCTTCCTTTTTTTTCTGGACTGAAAATGGAGAACACAGACTCGACCTAGCACCTAGGTCTGAGAACACTTCGGTCCTTCTCCCTATGCTCAGAACTTGACTGTTTTTCAAGAAAATAACTTCAGAATTAAGTGGATAGTTGACCGAAGCTCTCCATTGGGATTGGTAACTTTTTTTTCTGTGTTGTTGGTATTTCTGGGTTGCAAACCTTCAAAATCTGCTCGGACTGATCAAAATCTAAAGAACTAGGTTGTTTATAGCCTTGGTTCTTGGCAGAAAGTCCAAGGACAGGCTGTGTTTACAGTGGCCGAATGGTGTAAGGGTGTGTTTGACCCTTTTGTGTGGATCTGTAGATCCAAATCTGTAAGGTTTTGAAACCTTTGTTGGTCATGAGTGACCTGAATCGACTGGTAGAGTACTGCAGTGATAGTAGTTGATGGTTTTGGACTTATATTGTCCTTTGAAAAGGTCCGATAAACCTGTACATGTGTGTGAATGTGTTTGCTACTTGTGTGAAAGTCTCTAAGGAGTGAGGGTGGTTGTCACCCATGTGTGTGGACTGAAAGACAGTAGGTTATTGTTCACCCAGAAAAAGAAAATCCTTTTTATGGCTACAGAAGATTCAGCAACATCTGGAACCACATCCAATCAGGGTGAACTGAATGGTGGTCCAGACACTTTAAATTTCCCTATGACTATCACTCCTTTGGATGGTAGGAACTATTTGGCTTGGTCCAAAGAGATGCGGCTGTACATTACAGCTAGGGGAAAGGCAGGATATATCAATGGGAAGGTGAAGGAACCAAAATCAGGGACTGCCGAATATGACAAATGGGACCAAGAAAACCGTATGATTATGTCGTGGCTTCTGACATCCATGATACCTTCGGTCATTCAGTTAAGCAGAATTTCATGTGGGCTGAAACAGCAAAAGAAATATGGGTACAAGCTTAACATATTACATCAAAAACAAAAGAGGAAAAGTTCACATAAGCATTGGAACAGCAAATAAATGAAGTCATGCTAACAGATCTAGCATGCAGAAAAGATATCAAATATTAAAAGACTTTGTTGAAAAAACCTGGTATGAAAGAGGTTGGGCCAAGGGGGTCAGTTTTCAGAAAATTTTGTGGTACAGAAACTTTTCCTCTTAATGATAATCTTTTTGTAAACACAAGGGGATAGCTTTTTGCTTATGAAAATCATTTTGTAAATACAAGGGGTTTGGTGGTAACCATGGTTTAGGAATTCCTTTTGTATGTATGTTTTGTATATTCCCTATATACAGCCTCTAGTAAAATGGATGTGCCAAGAAAATAAGTTAAGAATCCAACTTTTAGAAGGACAAAAAATGCTTTGGAATCTGACTTGGTTTTTGGTTTGGCTGGTCTGTTCTAAAATGGATCTTTTCAGTTGAGTTATTCTTCAACTCTTTTAAGTTTTAAGTAGCCCATCAAGATATATCTTTTCCAGCTAGTTTCATTTGGGGAAAATATTTTTCCAAAGATTTCTTTTCAATTGAAATGCTTTCATTTTTCTTTTCTCATCAAGAGCAATATCGGCCCATATCGACCAATACATATTGTATCAGCAGGTCATCAATACTCTAAATAAGGGCCTTTTGGAGTTTGGACCAATTTTCAGGGGTAGGCAAGCCTAAGACCGACCCCCCTGACTAATTTTCGAGGAAAAAAACTAACAAAATAAAGAAGGTTCTGTGTGGTCGAAACACCCAATATTTACCATCCAGTGTATTGATATTTTGAAACTTGTGTCTAACAAAAAATAGTATTCTTTTACTCAATTAATAAAATTTTGACTGGTAACAATAAAAAAAATGTCTAACAGAATACCCCTATTCCGAAAAAATTGGTATGAAGGAACCAACACACACATACATACCAAAGTTCTTGTATATGACAGATGATGGAAGATTATGATGAAATGGTTTATCTAGTTTAATTACTGAGGTGGAGAAAGCGAAGAATGTAAATCACCTTCTACACAGTACATTATTCATTTGAACTCGTGGAAGTACTCAGACTGCAATCAGTAACCTTGGTTTCTTTGTTTATTTTCGTTAGGAGTTGGAACTTGGAAGGCTCTTGCTTATAGTTCTAAAACTACAAAGGTGCAACACCAGATCAAGATTTTAATGTGGCCAAAGGGAAGTCCAAAGGGATGGGTAAGAAGCTCCGTTACTTTCAACGAACACTACTTTTAAATTTTCATAGAGTAGCTACTTTCAAGGTTAGCTGCTTTCTAGGCTTATTAAGGGAACAATGGTGTTTTAATCACATTATAGTTAGTTATTATGAGGGACCGAACATTTGAACTACATTTTCTTAGCTTAGTATTCAAACTGATCTAAAAAAATGCTTGGAATTGTAAGGGTGTAAAAAGGAAAGTCATTGACTACATTAAAGGTGTGAATGCTTAGTGATAAAAGAAAGTACACTCTCCATCCATGAACACCCCTGGAGGGAAGGCTTATAAGGCATAACTTGGTTGTATGAAATTTCAGTTTGTTAGTAGCTTTGAGATCTCTTCTTATCCCTTCTTTTTTCTAGTCTTGGTCTTGACACAACAACAGGTTAAGGTTGAGTTGTATCTTGCTACTTGCATTATCTCATGATCTCCTCACATTAGTGTTTCTCATTACGTATCTGTTGACTGGAGATCTCCTGCTGCATCATATATGGTGGGGATTAATCCATCCATTGTATTTTGAAGCCCAAGGGAGGAACGAAAATGGAGTTTTAAACGACAGGTAGTCAGATAACATCCACTGGAGGTGATAAAGAGTGGTCACTAATGAACCACCAGCTCTACACAAAGCATGTCCCATGGACTGCACTCATTCTTGAGAAATAATGATCTAGTTGTATACCATAAAAAACCATTTGTTGTCTTGTTTCTTCCCACATGATGAATAACCAGAACCAACTTTCTGTTTGACTGATTCCCATGTTCTTCGAGACTTGTATCCTCACCATTGTAAACCTCCCCTTCTTTCGGCAACTCTTCGATCATCGATCCCCATTACCCTATCGTTTGATAACTTACCCCTTTGTTCTCTGATGCCTTCAATAACCTTGGGCCCACCCCTTTTATTATAATCAGACTTCGCCCCCTTTTCTATTTTTCCTTTTTTTACCCTTCCAATCCAAATGGTTCCCTCCTCTTCTAATTACCAAACTACCCTTGTTTCCTTTGTCTTCCTTCCCTTGCTGCCCTGACTTCTGCACCTGTTCAGCTTCCCCCTTTCCTTCCTCTCTTTCTCTACCATCTTCCTCCTCTCCAGTTCTCCTTTCACCACGTTTACTTCTTTCTTCCCTTTGCTCCATCCCTCAGCAATCGCTCGATTGAAGCATGGACCGTGCCCAGCCACAGCACAATCTTCAATTGGTACACCTCTCCAGCATAGAAAAGATCAAACAACATTGGTATCATCTACACAAGAATCCTGGTGAACTGAATCTGCTCCCACAATCGGTTTCTGAAGTCGAACCATTTGAACTTTCCACATGCATCTCCAATTGCTCTAAAGGTCTCTGTACTCCATGCATGCAACAGGATTCCATAAACATCAATCCACACAAAATCCTTCTCCTCCATCAGTTGCCCAAATGCTGGATGCCACTTATCTAACCGTAGCTCTGGAATACTATTGAGACTAGCTTTTTCTCTTTCCAATACCTTCTCCATGTCAATCCTCCTCCTGAAACCAAACAGAAACAAGCATGCTCCCAGTCTCTGAACCCCCACAGAACCCCTTCCGTGCCATTCCATTGACGCCCAACTCTCCATATCTGTGATGTCTGGATCAGAACCAATGAACCACCCAACCAAGCAAGAAGCAACGGTGCAAAAACTCCAATCTTCCATTCAGTTTTCCCACATTTCTTACTGACACTCCTCACATCGCCATCTTTCATTCAGTTTCATTTCTTTAAGTTGAATAATCAACATACGAAAAATGACAGTTTCTTAAAACATATGATGTCCAAATATGGATATGGAAAACAGGGATACAACTCTCTGTTTCCTAAAATTCTAGAGATAGATACGGGTATGGGCATCCCATATAATATCCCTATATCATGTGTTATCTAGTTTTTTTAAGCTAAATGTCATTTCTAAAATTCATGTCTTGCCAAATTTAATTTAAGTTTCTAACATGTGCTGATGCGCAGATATTTTTATAGTATAATTTGTTAAAACCTACCACTTGCCATATTTTAAAAGTGCTAATGTTATAGAGTACACTTAGAAGTATCCATGCAGTATCCTATAATTGTATCTAATAAGTCAGATATGATACCGGCAATGCTAGGCATGTACAAGGCTTAAAAGAAAAACCAAAGGGAAGAGTATCTAAAGGTGAGGGGGGAGAGAGAGAGAGAGAGAGTTCTCCAAGAAACTTGGTTTTCACATACTCGAGTAATCAAATTGCTACTAAGCTATTAGTATTAATACAAGCAACAGAAATGGTTATTAACGTTTTTTTTCTAATCAGTAGTTTAAGAATTCATAAACAAAATGTCTTATTTCTGTTCTGTCTTGCTTGTTCTAGTTATAAATATTGTCAAAAGTATTAAATCAAACATAAAATATGAAACACAGTAAAAGGAATTTTCCTTTTTATAATGAATGATCTCCTCAGAAACTGGGAAGTGGCGGCTCACTAGAACAACCAGAGAATCCATATTATGGTCATCTCCTCCACCCAATAAAAGTTGAATTTTGATTGATGCAGCTTGGGAAATCCAGGTGAATAAGGTGTTGGGAGGAGGTGGAGCTTTTAGAGACCACAGAAGTGACATTTTGCTAGATTATTCTGGTCCAATAAGAATTGGAAATTCTATAAAAGCAGAATTCCAAGCATTGCTGCAAGGCCTCATACTTGCTAGAGGATTGTAAAACGATTAAAGTTGACTTAAAGGAGAAGTAGAAGGTCCATGAAAGACATTTGATATAGGAAATACACTTGGGGGGAATATCTGCTAATTTTGAGCATGTTTGGTTCTGTGGGTGTTTATTGGAAAGACGCCACCACATCAGCACACACTTAGGTGTTAGCGTTTATTGTGCATGAAACCACTGTTTGGTTTCAACATTTATCAAATAAACATTAAAAAACAGAAACACTTGGACTTATGTGCATGAGCCATTGGGGGAACTTCAAATTCTGGTTTCTCCCAATGGCCCAATGTTTATTGAAATGCAATGCTTACCTGGAGCATTGTAAGCTGAGGTGGAAGATAGCTTTATGGGGTGTTACTTGAAATGCCCAACCAAACAACAAAAAACAACAAAAAATAATAAACGTTTAAAGTGACATTTTTCAATAAAATGTTTATCTGAGAAACACCCCAACTATAAACGCCCACGGAATCAAACACATACTTTCTTGATGTCTCTCTAGTCCAACAAGGAGTTGGTAAGCAATCTCTGGTGTGGGGTGTGGAATGGCTGATGGATTAGCTAAATTGGGAGTGGATCGGGAACAAGCTTTCTGGGCATAATTGTAAGAAATACATGGGGGGAGATGGTTTTATCCATGCTCTCTGACCTATGATTGTAAAAGTTGTATAAATTTTAAATTTTTAATCAATGAAGTTACTGACCAAAAAAACAATCTCTGATGTGGGATGAATACCCCTAGGATAAAAGTCTCTTGTAAGTTTCATGCTCCATCTGGAGTTATGGTGGAGCAGCTAGGAGCTGGAACCTGGATCGCTATGTAATGACTTCAGAAAAACTTTGTGCAAAATGTACAAAGGGTTAAGTGGGTAACAGTGTTGGTATGAAGTAACAATGTTGCAATAAAATTCTGCACTATTGCGCCTTTTATAAAGGCAAAAAAGATTTGCACAGTATTGATATGAAGTAACCATATTTTAAATGCATTTAGTCTTAGGATTTCTTGCTGTCTGTTCCGTCGCTTTGGCAGTGCATGGGAATGCTTAGCATCTTGGTTTTCTTGTAATCTGATTTCATAAATTACTATACTTTCTTCAAGAAAGAAAGATTTCTAATTATAAATATTAAACTCCAACCAAGTATCTGAGGCAAAAAGAGTCTCAATAAAAAGTTGAAATTGTAAATTTTAACCTGTACCTACAGGATCAGTTAGATACTTCTCATACTCCTCATCAGTGTATTTGATAATATCAACAGACTGCAAGATTTCAAATCAAATAATACATTAAACTTCAGGGAAAAAGAAATGAGGAAATTATGGTTACACAAGCATGCTAACCAACAAAAATCCTGTAGTATTTTCTCTGCATACCTTGTTATACTTAGCAAAAGAATAGTCACCCGTTGGTGGAACACCATTTACAACTCTCACCTGCAAAAAAACAAATACCAAAAATTGTTGAAACAGCTTGACAGTTTAATAAGCCCACCAAAAGGATGAATAAATTTATGCTCTAATCATGTTATTGAAACAGGATAAATAATCATACCCAATGATAAAGTTGTAAATTATCTTTCCGAGCAGAAGACGTGAATGGAAGCCACTGCCAAGTAACCTACATATTTAAATGCAAACATCAGTACAACTCCAATTAAAGTTATGAATAAAAACCAAAGTAGCTTAATTTAGGGGAAGATGGAATATTACATGTTGTTCACAACCAATGTACGTGAGTTTTTTTTTTTCTTTTTGGGTATGAACTAGGTGAGTTTTTTTTCTTTTAAGGAAAGAAAAAGCATAAAACAATTCCTGAAATGAGATATTATCAGAAAAACAATGATCAGAACCCCAGCAAAGATAGTCACAGTCACAACTCAGCAGCTTTTCCATTTGGGCTGCTTTGTTCTCAATTTCAAAAACTCTATTGTTCCTCTCCTTCCAGACTCAAGCCAAAAGATTGCTGCAGGAATGCACCTCCAAATTCTCCTCCCCCTTCTAGTATGAGTGTAAGATCCTTAACCATCCAACTACCCAGACAAGGACTGGGGGCACACCCAGCTGATATTCAGCAATCTCACAAAGAAATGAAGTCAGCTGATATTTATCACCAACTAAATGATAAATAGGGTCCGAAATGAAGTCATTTGGAGGAACCTAGAAGCTAGAAGTAGCTCCAATAGTTGATATTGATAAAATGAAAGAAAGTAGACTAAGATGGTCTTGTCATGTGCATAGAAGGCCACCTACAGCACCTGTAAGAATAAGCTATAGTTGGTATTAAACCATTTAAAAGGGCAAGAGGGGCTAGGGGCAGATCAAAAAGGACACTGGTTGAAGTAGTAAGAAATGATTTAGCGCTCATAACTTAACAATGGATATGGCATTAAACAAAACAGAATGGCGAAACAGTTGGATGGCTCCTAAGCATCTGCAGGATCTGATTTCTCAGTGGCAAGGAAGAGGTCTGAGCAAGAGAGGTAAGACCTATTGGCTGATAATACTGCACGCTGTTCTTTGGGGAATTTGGGAGGAAAGAAACAATCGGCTGTTTGAAAATAGGTCCAAATCTAAAGGTGAACTGATCAACCACATCACCCATTACTGCAACTTGTGGGCCTCTAGTTCAGAGGAGTTCACAGGAGTTAGCATCAATGATCTCAGCAGAAACATATATATCTTCCTGGTTTCTTCCCCTCCTACCTCACTCTCTACCAGAGATCCTTTAGTTAGAAGGGAAGGAGTCTGGACTCTCAGCTTTGACGGAAGTGCTTATGGTAACCCCGGAGCTCCCGGCATTGGAGGAATTCTAAGAGATGAGAATGGTCACACATGCTGGGTTTATAGTGGTCCGATTGGGATAGCTGACTCCACAAAGGCAGAAGTGTTAGCAGCTCTAACAGGGATTCACCTAGTCAGCAAACTGGGTATCCAAAGCTTCTCAATTGAAGGTGACTCAGCCAATACTATAAGATGGTTGGAACAACAGGAAGCTGAACCTTGGAGACTTAGTCACTTCCTATCAGAGGCAAGGGACCTTCTGGCTCCTTTGAATGTTTCTCTAACCTGGATCCCAAGGGAACTAAACACAGTTGCAGATGGTCTAGCAAAAATTAGGAGTTATTCTAGAGACTCTGTACTGTGATTCCTGTCCTCCTGTGTAATTCTCAGGGGTCTAGCCCCTCTTTTGTATTCGTACACACTCTTGTGTACCTCTCCTTTATTCAATAAAATTGTTAACTTTCCTCGAAAAAAAAAAAAAAAAAAAACAGAATGGTGAAACAGGATTCATGTAGTAGAGCCCATATAGTTGGTATAGGGCTTGGATGATGATGATACATGCATAGCTTCCACAATATAACATGTGGAAAGGAACATTTGTTCAATGTTCACTGGTTTTATATGCATCTTAATGCACTTAGATGCGCACCACATCTTATGCACAACAAATCTGAACTCTTCTTGATACGAGTAAACATAGCCCTAAAATTAGGGTACTTGCTATAACTTGGAGCCAAGATGTTCGTTTTAATTGATAACAGATTGAAAAAAAAAAAAGCTTTATTGATATAAAAATCTGGGAAAATATAAACACCTAGTTTCCAAAAAGGAAATCGAGACTTCAAACCTTTCAAATGCAGGTAACAAATTGTTGTATATCTTTTTCTTCAATTAAATTTTTTTCTTATTTCACTATCCAAAAAATAAATGCAGGTAAAATACACAAAAAGCATCGCAGAAGTACATAGAAGAAACGCAAATTGAAGAATGTTCATTTCATAGAGACATCAATTATAATGCGGTAATTCAGCATAAACGTATAAACTTCTTTAACGAAAACCCAAGAAGCAAATTTGCAAACAATTCATCAATACAATCTCGAAAGCAAATACCTAACAGAATTTTCTAAAAGACTTCACCTTTCCTTTCTCTGACTGGGTACGTTTTTTCAAGTGAGAGACGTCGATTGCAGGCATAATAGGCGCCAACCCACCTGTAAGTGCGTAAACCTAGAATTCCATAACTAAAATATAGTTAAGAAAAAGCAAAGCAAATAAATTCCGGTGAAATCAACAACAAGAATCGACAAAACGAAAATACCTCTCGAGAAATTCCATCTGGTTTCCTCTGAGAATCCTTTTGAGGTCGAGACTTCTTCTCCTGAGGTGCAGGAAAGGAGGTTTTGGGCAAACCCAGAATGTCCTTAGCATCCATGTTGAGTAAACCAAGTTAGGGTTTTGGCTCGTCCGTCATAGAACGCATACAGAACAGAATTAGGTATTTCTGTTAGTTTCTTCTTTGATTCGCAGCGCGGGCAGATGAAATATTGGGGTTCCACCCTCGATTATCATCAAACTTTTAGTGATTTCTCAAGTATGAACGCGTTAGCGAGATCGAGCAATCAGAACTAAGCCGAGAAACATTCGATTTCGAACAACTGTTAACGTGCTTTCGAGTTTCGAGAGTTGTGAAGTGTGAACGAGGATACTGTACATCAACTGACTTTCACTACACTGCGATATGGATTTGTATCGGGTTGTTCTCGTATGCATCAGGATCCGGATCCACTTTGATTTACGGCACTCGAGAGTCGAGATCATAGTATCAAACATCAAACAAACCTTTGACCGTCGATGGAACAAATACAAGTTATTAGGCAGAACCCGACCCAGAATAGTACGGTAGGTAATATGGTTTGCGAGAGCAAGAGGAACAGTGTGGAAGATACTGGTCCAATCATGATAAGCCACCTCAGCCTAAAAGTCACCCATAGTTACCAAAAACCTACACCATAGTTTGTAATATCACTTTTTTTTTGACAAGTAGTTTGTAATATTACTCAATACCTACCTTATATCCTAAGAGCAGCGTGTCTATAAATTACACCATGGCGATTTGGTATAAATCATAATAACCCATTCATATTTAATCGTTGAGATTGAAGGAGCCAATTCAATACACTATTTTTTTACAAAACATTAGAATGGATGAATAAAGACCCGTTCCAATTCTTATTTGAACATTCGATAATCTTTATCCTTAGTATTAGTATTGTAGGATGGTGTCAATTTGAACAATAGGCTTTCATGTAGTTTAAGCTCTTTCAAAATGAAACAGTTGGAACTATCTAGTTTTATCCTCAATCCGGGCATATAACTAGAAATTGTCCGTTTTTCTATTTTCTTTTCATTTTTTGATGATTCATTTCTCATTTATCTGATTTTATAGTCATGGATTTTAAATGGAAAAGAAAATCTCATTTTATCAATGAACAATTTCTAGTTATGTGGTCCAAGTATAAAACATTTTTATCCTAACGTCTATTCAATTATCAAATTAATTAAAAGAAATGAAATAACTGAAAATTTTATTTGAATTTTCAGAAAATAAAAATATAATAGATAATAATAAGAAAAATAACGAAAATAATAAATTAAATTAAATCAAAACTAAATGAAGATATATGTATCTTCCTTTATTTTTTTTTCTTTTTTTTTTTGCTTTTCCAATTATGCTTTGTTTTATTTTTACAATACAAATAATGTGGGGAAAGGCTTTATTTCTAAAGGGTAATATAAGACTTTTTATTGAGTATTTTCAAAATTTAAAAAAAAAAAATGTAGAACCATTTCCTAAGAAAGTTGCACTAACCAAAGTAGAGAGCGTTTGTTTGGAATTATATAAACTATAGGGTATGTTCTGGTATTTTACGGGTGTCTTAGTAAATGAGCCTTTAAAAATCAACTTAGAAATAATGTCAAAAACTAGCATGGAGGTTAATTCATTTTTTTGTTCGGATGTTCTAGGATAATAGGTTAGACTGCCATGAAAGTGATGGTTACTTTTAAGGCCTCGTTTTTTTTATAAGCAAGTTTGGGGGCGAAAAGTTGTCAATGGGAGATGTGGGAGTTAAGTAAAACAACTTTCCCTTGGATGGCAATTTCTACCCTACCTAGATGGTGCTCACCCCTACTCACTCCAATGGGGCTCTTTTTTTTTCTTTGAAGGATGGATTTTGGGGTGGGGACTGATTTTTGGATTCTCCACCCCATATGGGTATGGGTATGGTATGGTATTAGGTTAAACCTAACCCTCCCGGACCCTCGTATTGTTGGAAAGCATATGAGGTTTATGTATTAGGTATTAAACTTAATAGTATTTTGAATTTTGTGTGAAAGATAATTGATAGTTTGTGTTGTTTACATGTCTTAATCAAATAATTATAAATTTTGTTATTTGTTCATGCTATTTTACTTATTTATCACTTATACATAACAAAAAATAATAGGAAATTAGATATGGTTCTAAATCCAACCTATCCTACCCTTAAATGCGGGGAGGGTTTTTGCATTCATGTGCGGAGAGAGTTTGGAATCTCAAAATCCAATTTACTACAAGTTTTGGGGCAGGTACGAGTTAGGAGTTTAGGGAGGCAGTTGGGGTCTATAATTTACAAAACCCTCATCGACCCCACCTGTTGTCATCCCTACCCTATAAAAGTCTTACCCTTCTTCCAATAAGGGTTGTAAATTGACTCTAAAAGTTTGATATCAAATTCGACTTTGAAACCATTTATCTTGGATTTAGATGTTAGAACTTGCATTTGATTAATAATTAGATCAAATGTGAATTTAACATCATCAGATCAAATGCAAATTTAACTCTAGCAAAACAACAAAATTAATATGTGCATACCCAAGGGGTGAATATTCTAAAAACCAAAAGTGCATCCAGCTAAGCATATTCTATAAGAAGAATAAACATATGATTTAAAGGAGTAAACAAAGAATATTCTATAAAAGGGATAAAATAGGAAATAATTATTAACAAGAAAACTCCAAAAAGTTAGATTAATCACATGTTTAAAATGTATAAGAAGAACCTTCCAGAACAAGAGGGCATATGAGAGAAGGATTACTATCTAAAAAAACTTATGGAATACAGAGCCAAAAACTATAAATAGGAGCTTCCTACCCATTTCGAGGGAGTTTTGGAACTCATCATCTACCCCTAAACCGCCATTGCCTTAGCTCCCCTCTCCTTCCACCTCAGTCTTTTTCCCATTTTCCATTTTCCATTTTCCATGCATCCATCCACCATTTCTTCCTCTTATCATCGGAATTCCAACCCATGTGAACTACATTGGCTTGATCCCTCGCCAGAGGGTATGTAGTAGCCCCTCTAGGGGTCTAGCCACCTCTTTTTCTTCCCTTTTTGGTTCCATAATCTGAACTACTTCCTTAGATTTCAAAGTATAGACCACCACTTGTCCATYGCCTTATAGGAGGTTTCATAATTAAATGCGAATGCAAATGCACTAGATCTGATCCGAATCTGATCCATTTATAGCCCTACTCTCCAGTGTGGGTAAGTTACTTTCTTGTCTCAAGGGAAAGTTGCTAAATTTTAATGAGACAAAAATGCCTGTTAAATAGACATTCCTTCAAAGCACTTATGTTGTTGGGGATTTATAGAAGTAATCCTTCAAAGCACTTATATTGCTCAATGATTGCACCTAAGGCTCTCATGTGTTGTATGCTTAAACTGCATTTGTTTGGTGGTGAAATTGATAATTCAATACGTAAGTGTACTCTAGTTCAATTTTATAAGTGTTTGGTAAACATACATTTGTGTACTAAACATGAGGTCATCCCAACTTCCAAGATATGTTTGTAGTCAAATGAGACCAAAGTTTGTATCCAATACATGTTATTAACTTATTACTACTCACAATTCATTCTTGTATTGAAAATGACAGTTATCACAACTTTTAAGACATGTTTGCACTCATAGTTGGTAAATGTAAAAAAGGTGGACTTTAGTATTAGAATCCCAGTTTTGTACTCATTACCACCATAACCTAATTGGTTAAAATACAAAATTTATGATATAAAATAAAACCACTTTGTATTCATGAAACTAATCAGATGGGATTTTTAAACAGTTCACATTTGTTTTTGTACTAGAATCAAACGCAGCCCTAGGAGGATATACATGGCCTTCTATAATTCTTTATTTTACTAGTTATATCTAGTATTTAAATAATCTAGGCCATGACCCCAATTCTAGTGTTTTCAATCATGGTGCCTTAACCTCTAGCATTACCCCTCTTGTGATCCATCCATTTGATGGGTATCTTTATTCCTTAGACAATTATGATTGTAAGTAGCTTCTAAATGTGAATATGATAGATACTATTGCCCCTTAACATAGAGCTCTAGGCGGTAGGTCAGAACCAAAAATCAGAATCCCAATTTAAAGTCTTTACTCCAGGGAGATGGAGATTACTTTGGTGAATTAGATCTTGTTAGATGCCCACAATCATCTCAAAACATACTAGAATATTGACTCAATAAAACTTAAACTAATATTTTAAACACAAATGTAGGGTGTAAGAAGTGTATATATTTACCATGTTTGCATTAAAATTTATGAAGAAATAAGAGAAAACAAAGAATAAAAGAATAAGAGATGAGAGTATAGGGCGGCACACTTTAACCAACCCGGAAAAGTGATATTTATATTAGGGTTATAATAGTACATGAGATGACCATCTTACCCCTCATTAGTGTACAATAGTATAACTTAAAATAATAAAGGCTCGGGCCCATAAATCACCTAATAACAATACAACATAATAAAACAAAGTATGGCATAACATAAATGGGTTGAAGCTCATAATGTTAAGTTCCACAATACTCCCCTCAAGTTGAGCATAGACCCTTAGTAATTTTCCAAGTTTGGTTATGGCAAGACCCTTCATAGAGACATCAACAGCTTAACTTGCAAAGGGCATATAAGGAATACATACTTTTCTAAACGCAATCATTTCTATAGCAAAGTGTTTATCAATCTTGATGGTTTAGTCCTATCATGTTGGAGAAGATTGTTAAAAAATGCTTATTGCAGCTTAATTATCACAGTAGTGCTTCAAAGGACTGGACATGATAATTCTCTAATCATTTAAGAGTATCTTGATCTAAAGAAGTTCAGCAACTTCATATGTCATGGCTTAGTATTTAGCTTTAGCACTCGAACGAGCCATCATGGTTTATTTCTTGCTTCTCTAGGTTACTTGATGCCACCTACAAATATGCAATATCCAATTGTAGATCTCCTATCACAAGCAGACCTAGTCTAATCAGCATAGTATAGGCTTTTATATTAAGCTTATCATGCTTCTTAATCAATAATCATTTTCTTGGATATGTCTTTAAGTACCTCAATATTTTTTTCATTGCCTTCATATGTGAAATTCAAGGAACATGCATAAATTGATTAACAACATAGATAACATATGCAATATTAGGTCTAGTGAGAAACAGATATAGAAGTTTGCCCATAAGCCGTTGGTATGTTTCCTTGTCCATGTAAAGTTCCTCGTCATTTTCCTACAATCCATGTTTTTTGCTCTATAAGGGTTTCAATAGGCCTACTCCACAACTTCACTAGGAAATCCAAGGCATACTTTCCTTGACAA